GCAGGTTTTAAGTGCAGACTATCTACAAAAAGGCCTTAATATTGATGTATTATGGTCACTCATAGAAGTGATTTCAAATGTATCAAATTCAAGTTTTGGAACTTCTCGGAGTCCATTAGAGAGTAGTATGTAGAAATATGAGAACAATTGCTTACTTATGTACAAAAGAATTTTGACAAGCAACTAAACTCTCTGTCAGCTCTCTGATTTCATTCAAAGGAAATAAAGAAAGTAAATGTTTTGGCCATTAGAATTTTTCTCTTTTTAAAAAGAATTCACTCTTGGGGGAATGTACCATATCAAAGAAGCAATGTACCGTAAATGTACGAGGAAGTCAATTTCATTCATAGTTATTGCAAAGTATGTTCTAGGCAACATTTTCGTCAGTAGCAAAGTTGTAGACACTAGGAAAAATAAGGAAAATGGAAAGGCAGATTATAATGATACATAATAATATTTTGTGCCAATAAAGGGATAAATGTACAAAAATATCAACAACGATTCATAACTTTAGAATGTGACTCATGACCGTGAAATGTAGAACGTATGATAGGGTTGCACTAGGTTGATTAGATATTTTGTGAATCAGAAAGTTTTTATTCAGCTAGTTGGTTGGCTGAGAAGAATTTAATTATTTGAAAAATGGTTCGAAATGAATAATGGGCATTTTCAGACAAAGAAATGGTATGAATGATGAGTACCAGGAATATATTTACGATACACTGAGATTTTAAATTTTTCCTGGAATTTCACATATTTTATGGGGAAGACTGCAAGATAGAGGGGCAAAGTTCAACTCGACCTTAATGGTAGAATTGCTGTCTGAAGACTTCTGTATTTAGTCCTGTTATAGCTGTTTTAGCAAAAAGAATCATGCCATTAAAAATGTCCAAATTAAAAGTCCTTTAATAGCCGGTGAGCAAAAGGGGAGCTCTCACTCTTACCTCCCTTTGGTACTGAGCAAGCAGGGAACCCCAGTTTTTAAAGGGAAAATCCACACAATAGAATGTCATAATCTCATCTTTGAGCAATCACAGGGGTACAGAAGCAGATTGCAAGTTAGATTAAAATCTAATATTTGGGATCTGGTAGGAAACTCCTAACTTTATGGTTAGGGCCACAGTATAACATGTGCTATCCTTTGTTCTTAACCACAAGACAAGATATGTTCTTTCCTTTGATCTCAACCACGAGGTAAGCTATGTGTTGGTTAACTAATCATTTTGAACAAGGAATCTGGGGAAGAAAAAGGGGTAAAATTCAGGCACAGGCTATTTGGGGGTTTTCTGGTTAATTCCCTTACTTTAGTTGAAAGGTATAGAGATTTCCACTGAAAATAAAGAATTAATGTTATTAATGGCGATAGCATTAATGGATAAAGCGCAGAAGAGTAGAGACAGATATAGTGGAGAAGGGGAAATAACTGTAACCAATGGTCTCAACCATGTGATATTGAGTATTTGCAAAAGGAATGGAAAGACTGTGATGGAGGTAGAAGATATTTTGGAAATTTTAAGCATCATTCACTGAGGAGCGAAAGGAAAGATATTACAACGCAGAGAATACATAGTCCAGGAAAAGGTAATGATTTAAATTTCCATAAATTTTCCTGTGGTATGAGAAAGTGGCATTTGCTTTGTACCTTTGGGACTTGACTGGATGAATGAAGGAACAAACAGCTATTTGTTTCGCACAGATTTAAGGGATGGCACCTTGAGAGGTGTGCAGCCGTGGATAGGTCATTTAGAACCCAGTACTGATAACTGGGAGTCGGCTCACAATAGACAGAGCAGGATAAAGAAAGATAAAACTCTGCTTTTGTATACAAAGGGTCTGTTGATGTTTTTCCGAGAGAAGCAATATCCTGCAAAGTAAGCATAGCTACAGTCTGTCAATATTTGCAAGGACAGAATGTAAACACTACATTTAACCCAATTTAAAATCCAAATTCAAATTTCTTCAATAGTCCCAATAATCTTCTTTCTAGATTTCTTTTATCCCTTTCATGGCTTTCTAGGATTCAAAGGTAAAGACCCAATCATAAAAAACATTTGACTCATTAGATATATATATAGGACCCCCAAATTTGTGGCTTGGCGGCTAAGAAGGCTTGCAATGTCTCTGGCTGTCTGAGTAGAGAGCTGGTGAGAAAGCACTCATGCTGCTTTGCCACTCTGGATATACCATACTCAGAGGCGTGTGCAGTGAGAGACAGTCATTTAGAGCCAGTACTAGTAGCTCAAGCATGTTCGGGATGAAAGATCAGGGAGTGGTGGTGTGCAAAGCCCCAAAGCTGCCTGTGAATCTGGAAATCTTTAGCTCAGAGAAAAGTGAGGGGATAGATATAGCTGTGGTCTTAAAACATTTGAACAAATACTGTTATGGGTTAAATTGTGTCCTCTCAAAAAATACATGAAGTTCTGACTTCCATTACCTCAGAAGGTGTTATTATTTGGAAATGGGGTCATTGCAGGCATCATTTGTTAAGAAGTCACAGTGCACTAGGGCAAGCCTCCAGTCCAGTAGGGCTGTTATGTTTGTTTACAAGGAAGAGGCAAAGAAGGATTTCCCGACAGGAGTTGGAGGGAGGATACCTTTGTTGATAGCTTACTTTCAAATTTCTAGCCTAGTCTGTATGAAAACAAACTTCTCTTGTTTTAAGGCACCCAACTTATGATACTTTTTTACAGCAGCCTAGGTAACTAATAGAGGTACAGGGTTTAAAAACAGATAAAGTTTATTCCTTAGGCTTTAAGAATTCAGAATTAGTAAGCATAAATAAAAGAGATGCAGATTTTTAACTCAATATGAACAAGAATTTGCCAGTAGTTGAAGCTAACACAAAATGCACTCAAAGGCCTCTGCCAGTTCTGAGTGTTTAGGCAGGATGGATCAAACATGTTTCCAAGATGGTCATTTTGCATCAGAGAGCAGCTTAGACTCATGGTTTCCAGTAAAACATTCTACAGCCCTAGCAAAACGAGGTCAGTAGCTTGCTTTTAATCTTCTGCTTCATTCAAGAGTATATAAGGATGAGACAGCATGGAAGTAAAGATTTAGATGCAAACTCTAGTACTCACTAGTCATTAAGTGTGTCAACCTCTCACCCTTAGTTCCCTGCCTGTTAAGAAGGATACTAATAGTGTTGGCTCTGCAGCAACATTACTATTAAACTAGTTAATAATTTGAAGCATTTAGAATAGGACATGGCATACAGTAAGTATTGGAAGAATGGCTGCTGAATACATATTTGCACCATTTTACATTGTGTCTAATATCTCTCACACCATTGTCCTTCCTCATCTTCAAACTCTGAAGTATTATAGTCAAACTACCACTAATTGCATCTTTCAATATTATGTCTTTTTTTAGATCTAGATTTGTACAAATTGGGCCATTTTCAGACCAAAAAACAGAAGTACAATGCTTTTCCCAATTTTCTGATTATAAATTGTGATAATGTTTTTCATAATGCTAGAAATGAAGAGTGAGTATATGGGAAATAAATCTTTCAACAACACTATTTTTGAACAATAAAGAACATACCTATTTATGGCTTACCTGAGTTTTTGGATATTACTGTGTTGGAGAGAGATGTGAAGTACTCAAAATTAAACACTCAGAAATCTAAGTATTTTATTAAATTGACACCAGTTGGTAACTGATGGCCCATTTTAGTCTTTGGATTAAATGAAAGCATTCTCCAGGATCCCAAACTCTTACTAAATGGTACATAATTGTCAAAACAAAATCTTTATTTAGTGACTTAAATTTAACAAAATGTGCTTTTATTTCTACACTATATAGTGTTACTAATCACAGCATGGTCTGAGAGTATAGATGACATCTTTGACAGGCTAATGATACCCCAGACAAAAGCCACAGCTATTTTCAGTATATAAGAGGCAACAGATGTGGGTAGCAGTGCATATACCTATACAATTCTGCTGCCAGTGATTTTGTGACCTTTGTCTATAGTGGAAATGTAGAGGACAGAAAAAAGAGGAACTGAATGTTCTTTTAGAAAAGACCGTCTGAGTCAGATAGCATGGCTTTTAAACTGGAAAGGCTCCACAAGGCAAGAGGGAGGCCTGCTGTGAAAGAATTGAAAAGTACTCTTGATGTGAGGGTGATGTTTAGAGGCCATTGTGAGTTCCAGACAGAAACTCTGTATTTCCAGAATCTATATGTGCTTTGTCACAGCTCCCTCATTTTCATGAAAGAAGGTGCCTGTGTGGTAAAAGGACAGGTTTTTTCTTTGGAACTAAGTCTCATATTTTTAAGCCATGTGTTCTTAGCAAGTCCCATGAATTCCCTCCATCTCAGATACCTCATGCATTAAATGTGGTTAATGTCTTCCTCCATTAAGATTGTTTTCAGGATTAAAACCCGACTAAATGAGCCATCCAGCTCAGTACTGACCTATAGGAGGGACTAAATAAATGTTGGCTGTTGTATTTTAAGGATAAGATTCTTCATCTGTTAGAAGTTCCAAATGCAGATTTTCAGAGTGGATGTAGGTCAAGGTCACAGATGAGACAAACTCATCAGTTCATCAAAAGTTGCTAATACTTAGTTCATCTCAACTCACCAACTATTTTTTTCTGGTACCAGGGATCAAACTCAGGACCTTGCCCTTGCAAGGCAGGCACAGTGCCACTGAGCTAAATCTCTGGCTCCTCACCAACTATTTTTTTGGAGTTCTGTATACAGAGTGCTGAGGGAATATATAGAATATCAGACTGTTAAGAATTTCTGAGATGTGTGATTCAAAATCAAGTCAAAATAAACATACCCATTATGATCAACTGAAAAATGTCTAACAGGGCAAATGAAATTACTTAAGCGTGCATTCAACATTTACACAGATTGGTTCAGTAAGAGCACAGCACAGCCTTACATTACCTTTCCTTTTCCAAATATGTGCTATACACGCACTTGCTAAGAATCTTAACAGCGTTTGTTTGTTTAGTTCCTATTCCTTATGTCTTCCGGTATAGTTTGTGTGGCAGTGTGGAAGAACCACCACATGAGAACAGTAACCAACTACTTCATAGTCAATCTCTCTCTGGCCGATGTGCTTGTGACGATCACGTGCCTCCCAGCCACGCTGGTGGTCGACATCACGGAGACCTGGTTCTTTGGACAGTCCCTCTGCAAAGTGATTCCTTACTTACAGGTAATTCCTTCTCATACATTTTAGTTCAATCAGAAACTACTAAAAAAGTTTTCAATCATAGTTATGACCTCTGATACATTAATGAGTGAATTAAGAAAGAAATGTACAGATGAGAAAACCAAGGCTCAGGAAACTTAGGTATCTTTCTTAAGGAGAAGATGAAATAATCACATTAAAAGGACAAACAAAATCTAAAAATTAATTTCTGATCCTAAAGTAAACCATTCATATGCAGTAAAGTAAAATTATGGTAATAATCACAAATTTTTTTTAAAAAGAAAGAAATGTATTTCTCTAAGTATTTGCAAATTTATAGAAGATGATGCTGGAGATTTTTGAAGACACAAGTTAAAGTTTGGATAAAATTAAAGCAACAAAACTTTTGAATCATCTTATAATGTTCTACATATATTTGACTTCTTTAATTCTTAGTTCTTCTAGTATTAAATAATGGACTTGAACAAATTAATAACAGAGTCTATTTTAGTCCAAATAATCAAGGATCTCTGTTTTTTTTTTATAAGTGGTTTTCTTTACATCCTGAAGAATTAAGAGCTATATGGTCAAAGGATTACAATGGACATGTTTTATCATCAGTTCTAAATCTAATTACCTGGCTTGAAATCTGTGTTCTGTCCTTTACAGGTGGTATGCTATCAAATCTCTTTGTAAGTCATTTATTTAAAAGGGACAATATTTTTAGTGACATGTATTTCATAATGTTGTTGTGACAATTTACTTAAATAATTTACATGAATCTATTGGTAAGATGATCATCCTCTGGTGATCTGATAGTATATTCTTAAAATCAGTTATCAATGCCATCAATAGATGGTTGATTGGTCAATAGAGAAGGAAGCTTTTCCATATGTAGTTGTCATTACAAGTTAGGAATAAATGCTTTCAGAGAGTAATTTCCTGATTGTTCCTGTAGTCTATGATCTTTGGAGAAAAAAGATTCTAATACAGCTACACTACTGAAAGAGATGTATTCACTTTAAGAGAAAGGCAGAGTTAAACAGTAGCTACTCTCTGCTTGTCTTCCTGTAGCCTCCCTATAGCCTTGGCCATCTTCTCTCCAGTCTTCTAGGTGGTGATCATTATATTTTCAAGTAGAAAACAATAGAAACTTTTTTGGGGGGCTACAAATATCCCATTACTAGAGATTGTACTGATTAGTCTTTTGAAACCAAAATGTTACAATAATTCATTCAGCTCAATAGTTTTTCAATAACATCTTATAAAAAAAGGGATGATTTTGAGTCATGTATTATTGAAAATGTCACAGAAGTTATAAGGTTAGTTTGGATCACCCTACTTAAAAAGATGGATGGATTAAAAATTGAACAGTAGCAAATATTTGGAGAAAAACAATATAAGAAACAACAGAGAAAAATATCTTCATAAAACAAAAATCATGAAAGTTTTATGGCTCTGATGGTGTTTTCATAGAGAACCTGGGAAAACCATAAATCCCAGAGAATTATTAGAGTTTGGCATCTCTGTGGTACTTCCAGCAAATGTTTTCTGTCTCTTAGTTATAAGAATCACCCAGGAGAAAATGTTGGCTAGGTTCCTATGTTTCAGGATGGTCCTAGTTGCCAAGAACCCTCAACTTGTTGAGAACATTTCCTGTTCTCTCTGTGAACCAGAAGCTTCAGGAATAGAGGGATGAAAGAAAGGCATGCCACCTGTGGCAAGTGCAGTCTTGTTCTGATGCACAGAAACATCTTGTTGTGGATTAGAGATTTTGGAGACTTCCGTGAGCACTAAAAGACAAACTAAACTAAAGGCAGAGTTAAACAGTGAGTAATGCAGGGCATGAGTCTCAAAGTCTCAGGCAGTACTCGTTACAGAGCAGACTTATTAGCAAGTCCTACAGTGAAAGGAACATGCTCACCACCACAATGATTCTGTTGGCTTCCATATGAATAGTGTGCAGCCTACTCAACTTCACAGTGGATTCTCTTCTCCACAAGTCAAAGAGAAAACTAATAGGCAACCATGGATAGAAAGACTAGATCCAGCCATTAGCTCACTCAGCATTACTTCTTGGTGGACATGCGTAAATGCACAAGGAGATTCATACACTAATTGTTGATCCTTTCCCATAGAATTTTCTCAAATGCAATGAACCGTGCCAATGTACAATAGTTGAGATATTTTAAAACTAATGGACTTTTTGCTCAGATATTTATGTCCCACTGAATATTGAAAAACATATTACATAACTGCCAGCCATGTTTTAAGGTTATTAGGTTTTATTTAATATTCTTTGGACATTTATTAATTTGTGTTAATACATATGTTCTTTTTCTTCTAAATGCAGCATAATATTTAGATTTATGAGTGATTTACAACACTTTGGCAAATGCTCAAACAACCTAAAATTCTACAGATGTATTAAATCTTAGCTGAATAATTAGTGACCCTTTAAATATATAATAATCCTATAATTTCAAGATCATTAACATTTATCAGTATATTGGTTGAATAAGTATCATTTATTTCATTTAATGACAGCAGCAGTTGGCTACTTTTTCAGGGTGATTTTTTTAAAAAAACTGCCTAGGAACCTCTGCATAAGAAATGCCAAGAAAAAAAAGATCAAAACACAAGTGTGACATAGGTGTAGATGCTTGGTAGGCAGAAAGACTACTTTATCATTTTCCTATCTATTAGTGCCCATCACTCAAATCTATGTTTTGGCAAAATGTCCAGTCCTACTTGTCACAGACCTCTGAGATCTTTTGGCAGCACTACATGCCAGTATAAAAGAAGGGTGTTCTCTACAAAATTTAATAGTTTTGTTTGCTCTGTGCACAGAGTACCCATGGTATAGGTGAAAGGCCAAGGACATAAAGGCAGAGGAAGTTCCCTAGCTCAGATTTGCAATACTAATAATCCACACTGGATTCATTTCTCAAATGACTTACTACCAGACTGACTCAATCTAACATTATGCCAGGCTCTAAATAAAGAAGACACCCAGAAGAGCTCTCCCATAAATGGAAAGCAGTTATAAAGCTCTCATTTATAATCATGAACAATAACATGAAATTTGATGTCCTTCTAAAAAAATCTTACAAATTGGATATTAATTACATACTAATGTATCTTATACACCTGCAAATATAGAAGTTAAAACAGTAACTATTAAAACACTGGCAAAGGCCCATTGAATTATTGTACTTGAGAGTCAATGGAGTATCCCATTAGAGTCACAGCCACATATTCTTTCACCTTCTATGCAATAGAGAGGGCACAGTGTCCTCCATTACTCTTGGCACTGGTCTTTCCTGTGAAGTGATAGGAATTGACTATTACTATTTAATAGTAATGGGAAATACTGAAAATGACATTTAAATTTGAATCATGCTTCTTCTATCTCTTCATCCAGGTTGATTAGAATTCACGCATAATAAATCACTAAGCTGGATGAACAGTATACTTGTCTAATTGCTAGAGAGGATAAATATAGCCCCAGCCCAATCGCTGAGAAAATCAACAGTGCAGATCTACACTGCCATAGTTCTATTTCCAGGTTAGCAGTGGAATTTAGAAGCCCTTGGTCTTGGTTTATTTGCATGAAGGAATGGAGATTGGGATAGGAGTGAGATTCTTTGAGGTACAGACTTGAAGGCACACTAACAGAGCACTAAAAAAATCCTCAGGAGTCAGCAAGTAACCTAACCCTCTTCTGGTACAGTTCAGTCTTTTAAGATTACACTTACAATGAACTGGCCTCTGAGAATTTAGCAAAGCTTAAGCTTTTACTTCTAATTTCTATGACTGAAAAGTAGTCCTTTTCAATTATGATCTGTATCTCCCAACTCTCGAATGGAAGATAAAACTAATGAATGTAATCATCATTATTTTTAATATAATTATATAAGTAATAGCAAGCACACAGCACTTCCATGGCAGAGTTGCATGAGGAATTTTACATTTCAACTAACTCTCCCTACAATGCAATGGTAGGGTACTATTTGCCATGTTACACAGGGGGGAAAACTAAAGAATAGAGAGGTTAAGTACTTACCCAGGATCACATGGTGAGATGAGAATCAGGCACTGCATATGGGCTGCAGAATTTATTCCAATTACACTTCCAGTGAGAATCTAAAGAATCAGAACTATAAGAATTTCATCTCTTAGTTTTCCTTCATTTAACAGAAACACATACACATGCGCACACACACACACACAGGTGATCCAATATTATGCAACTCACTGGTGGACGAGTGAGAACAGAAAGGCCATCTTGACCCTTGCCCCAGAGCCCCTTCTCCTGGTCTGCAGTGACTTAATTTCCTGCCACTCATTCCTACCCAAAGTGAATGCATTAAGAAAGAAGGTCATAATGTAAGAAGCAGAGTTTCCTGCCCATAACACATATTATAGATCAATAGAACTTGGACAGAAAAAAAGAGGAAAATGAGTGGGCCACATGTACTACAGTAGAGTGAGGCTTACCACTATTAATTAAGTAAAAAATAATTAATTATATAATGCTCATCAACTCTTTGTCAGGTCTGGGGACACAGTTGTGAGAAAAAAAGGTAATTCCTTCTGACACAGAGTTTTAGTGCAATAGAAAAAACAAAGATAAATAAGAGAAATTAAAAGAAACCTCTAATTTAAGGGGAAATTTTGAGAGTGAAGTCAGAATTGATGTTTCATGCAGTAGAGAAAAACACACTAAACATGACTACATAATCCACTGTTGGTGGAAGTCAGTATGGAAATACCTCAAAAAAGCTAGGATTAGAGGTCCCATTTGACCCAACTATTTCCCTGCTGGGTATCTTCCCAAAAGAATTAAAAGAATCATACCACACCAATATATGTGCACCCATGTTTCATAATGGCACAGTTTGTAATAGCTAAAACTTGGAAAAAGTCCAATTACCCATCAACTAGAGACTGGATAAAGAAAAATGTGTGTTTTTAAAAAATAAAATGGAGTACTACTCAGCCATAAAGAATGAGAAACTAGAGATATTTATAGCTAAATGGATGCACATTGAGGCCATATTCTTAAGTGAAATAAATACAGCACACATGTGTAAATAGCAAATAATTTCTCTAGTATGAGAAACTGAAAGTGTAAATAAAGATCAAAATGTATAATAGATAATGTGAAATAGGAAGAAAAGATCCAAAGGGGAAGGAGAAGTAGGAGGGGTAGGGGAAAGAAAAGAAGGGAAAGGAGTAGATATGAGAAAAGGAAAAAATGGAAACAAAGTCTTTGTAAATAGGGAGGGATGGAGGGGTTGAAGGGAGGGCAGGGGAATGGGGAAAAAATAAGAACCAAGATATATCATGTAAAGGTATAAATTCCCAATGATCAATGTCATCATATTGTATACCTAAAATGTACCAATATAATTAATGAATAAAAAACAAAAATGTGGGAATAGGCATGTTTAAAATGTTTCTTTTTTCCCCTTAAAATTCCAAGTTAAAGAACCATGTGTGGTTTTATTCATTATTTAGAAATCTGGACTGGTGAGCCTGATCTTTTTTTTTTTTAGAGGAAAGTTACTTATGCTAGCAGCAAGTAAACTATACCAAGGACCTACATAAACAAAATTTTCTTTCAACGTGACATATGCCTTTATTTAGATCCAACATTTTAGAACTAATGTACAACATTAGTTCTAATCTACAACATTAGAACTAATGTACAAATATCCCTTATTTGAAAATATGAACTTAGGCACACATAATTCATACATCCTAATTAAATGTAATTTCACCAAATTCCTACATGATAATTTATATGAAAAGAAAGAAGTGTCATAGTATTCTTTCTCTCTCTCCCTCCCTCCCTCTCTTTTTCTTTTGGTAGTACTGGCGATTGAACCCAGGTTCTGCACACTGAGCCACACCCCCAGCTCTTTGTAAAAATTTTAAGCTTCAAGACAGGGTCTCACTAAGTTGCCAAACTGCTCAAGCTGGAATCAAACTTGTGACCCTCTTGCTTCTGTCTCCCAGGGTGCTGGAATTAGAAGCATGTGCCACTATGACCAGTCAGCATATTTTTCTCCTTAAATGAAAGAGAATTTTACAGTTCAGACTAAACATATGTGTTGTATTTCTTTCCATTTGAGGCTATAATTTACCCTGTCAATAAAAACTTGCAAAAGAAAATAATGACAGTAATTATTCAAAGAGGGTCATATTATAAATTAAAACATTTAGCATAAAAAAGATTGCAAGGTTTTTATAGAACCTGTTTGATGTCTACCAGGAAATACATAGTTTTCCAATATACTTCTATTTTTTTTTCTTTTTGACATAGTTTTTCTTAAAATAGAAATCACTTGCATGAATTGTGTGTGGGGCAACCTTCATGCTCCTGTCTGTGGTGCTGCCTCCTCCACGCAGCCGCTGTAACTGCGGGCTTCCCCTCGCACCTGGGATTCTCCCGTGCTCCTCCCTCTCTCCTACAGACTGTGTCGGTGTCTGTGTCTGTACTCACGCTGAGCTGCATCGCCTTGGACCGGTGGTACGCCATCTGTCACCCCCTGATGTTCAAGAGCACAGCCAAGCGGGCCCGGAACAGCATCGTCATCATCTGGATCGTCTCCTGCATCATAATGATTCCTCAGGCCATCGTTATGGAGTGCAGCACCATGCTGCCCGGCTTAGCCAACAAAACTATGCTCTTCACAGTCTGTGACGAGCGCTGGGGAGGTAAGGGGGGGCGGGGCTGACGACCTCACACCTGCAAACAGAAATTCCATGAGCGTAGCTGTTGTAAAGCTCGTCTCGTCGATTTGATTGGCATTTGATAACACAGTTTTGCAAAAGTGTGAAAACCCAGCAGACATCCCCAAAATTTCACAGAGTAACTCTGAGTTCTTTGAAAATATTGGGCTGGGGATGTAGGTCAGTGCATTTGCCTGGCAAGTGCAAGGTTCTGAGTTCAAATATATTATCAAAACCAGGATTCCTTATAGTTGTCATATTTTCAAATATTTGAATCCTTGTATTTATGATAATTCTCACTTGAGGTGTTTTTGTTAGAAGAACTGAAAAGAGAAAAAATCAGTAACTGGAAAATTTAGCATAACACTTTCATTTTAGCAGATCAAATTTAAAAGGTTCTAGGATTATTTTATATTATTGTCATAAGACATCCAATACCAAAACTTTCACAATTTGCTTTATTAAGGCAAATATCAAATATATCTTTTGCATTGATCTCTATAATTCCTTTCTAACATTGTAGTTATTTCACTGTAATTTTAGGCAATATACAATTTTTCCCAATTTTCTTCTTTAATAGTGCAGATAAAAAACGAAATGAATGAAAAATTCCAAATGATGGTTATAATTCATGTTTCATATATACCATTTATTTAATTCTCAATGTCTTCAGTCTTAGAGTATGACAGGCTTTATGGCAACCAGAAGAGAAATAGACTCTGCCAGTAAGTCTAAAAGGAAACTAAGCACTTGATTATTGTGTGACCAGTACATTAATTTATTTACACACAAAGTGCTAAGAACACACATGAGAAAACAAATCCACACCTAGTCATTTTGACCAAATCTACAATGGGGCTGCTAACATTTCAGCAAAGCATTAAAGATGAGCAGAATCCCGCAGGGAGAAAGAGGGAAAAGGGAATTTCAGGAAGCAAGAAAACCACCTGTGGACACATTTTAAGACAGTCAGGCAGAAGGTCAGGACATGTAGCTTCTAGGCCACAGGGGAATGTGGTTTATAAAGAACTGAATTTGGACAGAAGGTGGTTCAAGGATGGATTTTGACATGTTTCTTACTCAATTTTTCTATGGAAAATTATGTTTGGAAAACAGTATAAAATCTCTAAGTCAGAATCTTTTGTTCACCACAAAACTGAGCCCTAATGAGATTAAATTATTTGTTCAAGAAATGTGTCCATGTAATAAAATAGTTATTATTATTTAATATGTCAGTAGTATTTTCCCTAAAGTATTATGGTAATAACTTTCATTCATTTACATGTTTATAAAATATAAAACAAACTTTTTGTGCCCTAAATAATCCAGTCAGATTACCTTTTTTCTTTTAGGTACCGGGGATCAAACTTGGGTCCTTGAGCTTGTGGAGCAGGCAGCAGAAGCACTGAACTAAATCCCTGGCCTTGGATTAACTCTTATTAACAAAAATATTGCAAAGATACAGACTCTTATCAATGATTGTGATTAATGGGCATATTATTTCAAATTATTTTTGAACAATAAGTATAAATTCATAAAGTTCATTTCTACACCTAGTATTTTATGATGTAGCTCTAGCATGTATATTTTCTTTTTAATTATCACTGAGTACCTAAAAGTCTAAACTCAGCTTTCAGAAGTCATTTGAGAAAACTCTTTGAAAGTGATTATAATTACGAAATCTGGCCTATTATGAGATTTTGAAGTCATCTAAATACACTTATACATGTGTTAATTGGAAATTTTAAACATTTATTAAGAAGGATAATAAAGCATGTTAAAGATTCATTAAATTTAATAGACCCATAAAGTTTTAAACAAAAGTCAAATTGAATACCAGCAATTTACCTTTAATCTACTTGTCCATTCAATCCAAGATAAATGTAGCATGAAGAAGAAAGGTTTGTAATTTTTAGACAATTAGTTTAACATGCTAGTTGAACAATGGGCCTTAATTCATCTAAGGAAAATTGTTTTTTCTGTACAATATATGACATTACTCTTTACTGTCTGATTTCAAAGACTATTTAAATAATCACATTTGTTCCTCATTTGTTGCTTACATATGTACATATATATGTGCAGTGATTTATTGAGATTGTACTTGCCATCGGTTGAGTAGACACAGATTTTCAACAGCTGTCAGTCTTCAAAATGCTGGTTCCTAATTAAAGTCGTCCTCAAGTGAAACAGATTTGTTAGTTAATTCAAGGTCATACATAAAAGTATCAGAACATATATTGAAGACAATGCTCATCAAGTGCAGAAGTCTTCAAAGGAATCTTTAACACACAATTTAAATTTTCAGTGGCATATCTAGAATTTAAATTAGCTTATACTGTAGGCATGAAATGAAAAATTTAAGTCTGTCATTTTTCCCTAATAGTCTATAATAATGTCCTTATTAAAACAATCTAACCCAGAAGTGTCATTTTGCTTGGTCAACTTTTCTCCATGTGATTGCTCATATAATAGGCATTAACTAGCCACCATGTATCTTCCCAACAGTTTATAAACATATCACCTGCAAATTGAGCTTTCTTTCACTTCCATCTATTCAAAGCTTCCAACCGTTATTACATGATGGTATCCAGAGATGTAGTTTGAAAAAAAAATAGTGACTTCTGAAATCTATCCTCCTTTGGTCATTCAGTTTAATCTGACATATTTATTAGGGCTTCACAGATAGGTAAGCTTCAAAGGTGTATTTTTTATGTGGAAAGCGCATGTGACACTTTCTTCAAAAAAAATAAAAGTTCAAAGCCACTCAGGTGCCTGGAATGTGCTGAAGTCACCTTCCAGAGCCTTTGAAATTGGCCCAGCCAATGCTGCTTGGGCTGAAGTACTTCAAAGGGAAATGCTACTTGCTATTCCTCCAATCAAACTGTTTGAATTCTATCACTTTTTATGTAAGTTGCCTGTTTGCAGGATAAACTTGAAAAGAAGCTAGAAACTGATGAGGCAGCTGTCTCCTGGGCAGAGAAAGGGTGAAAATGATGCCTCAATTCATCTCTTAGATCTCCTAGGCACATGCAGCCTGCCATCCCTTCTGAAGATTTCCATGGAGAAAAAAAAACAAAAAAACAAACAAAAAAAAACCCCCAGAGTTATATAAGGCAGAATACAAATTCCCTGCAATGAGTGTTAACAATAAATATTTAGCTTCAAAAAAAAAAAGAATACAGAGAAAATTAGACTCAAATTCAGCCAACTCCGAATCACAAACTCATAAATAAATTTAAAATGATGCAGTAAAAATTAACTCCATGATTACCAAAGGAATTCATAGACATATTTAAAATGTATTCATTAAGAATTAAATCCATGGTTACAAAATAAATATTGTGCATTGATAAAGTCACTACCATACTTTTTATTGGTAAATCTTGAATATCACTTGCCCTTATCACAAATTTGATCACAAAAATCCAGACTTCATCTTCATATAGTAAAGGGAAAGAATACACAGAGGTGATAACGTTATCTCTTGGTAATAATATATTATTTAAAACAGATAAATACAATGACCCTTTGTTCTGTTAGATTCAGTTAGAATTGAGTTATTGGGTTGAATATCCATGGACCTTAGTACACTATCCTGTTTCCTATTTTTCATTATAGTAAGAGGAGATAGGCTAAATGTGGTACATTTAGATAGTAATATTTAAGCACTTAAAGAGTCAATGGTAGGGCAGAGCCCTTGTCTGCCCAATCCACAAACACATGTTTGATCCCCAGCACCACAAAAAAACTATATAAAAAGTTTTAGTAGATGTTTTAGAAATGCTTAAATATTAATATAAATCCATAATTAATTAATTGAAAAGATTATTTTAAAAACTCCTAACCTCATGTATTTAGGATTAAAAATAAATTTAAAAATGACTGAAACTCAAGAAGTGCATATTTTAATAAGTGAGAGGTATATAAAAATGAAAATATCCATGTAGATTAAGAATTAACTTTAAAAAGCCTTAAAATTCTACATTTGTTAAAACTATATGCAGATACCCATATACACATACAGACATACAAAATGCTTAGAGAAATTCTCTGTGTGTTCTAGTAAGTCAACAAAAAGGTTCAACAACTTGTTTATTATATTTAATTTCCAAATATTTCACATTTGCATTTGGACGTATAACTAGAAATAGCCTCCCATTTCTCAGTGAACTTGCATTTAATGAGATGGAATCAGTTGAATTTCTATTTTCTTCCCAATTTAACCAAGGATTTGGTCATTAAGGTTTGATTGAGTTATGCCACTTTTATAAATGCAAATAAATAATCCAAATTAATATTTATTAATTAGTCAGATATAGTCAAGTCAAATAATAGGATTTTTGAGAAATGCACGCTCGATGTTGGATAGACTGGGGTAGCATAAATTAAGAAATGGCTAATTGTTATTTCTCTATGAGTACATTAGGTGAAATTAAAACTCCACCATATATATATATGTATCTGAGTAAGCATAAAGATAAATATTGTAAATTATTTTTCCATCTGTGATCATAATATGCTGATGAAGTCATAAAGAAGTTAAATTAATACTTTGATGGAAATACATTGACAAAATTTGTTTTTGAAAATATATATGAATTTTAACGTGAGACTTTTATTATTCTGACCTTCATCCCAGGTGAAGTTTACCCCAAGATGTACCATACCTGCTTCTTTCTGGTCACCTACATAGCCCCTCTGTGTCTCATGGTGTTGGCTTATCTGCAGATATTCCGTAAACTGTGGTGCAGACAGGTATGTAATTCCAAATATTTTGGTTGCGCTTTCTTTAGGATTTTAGAAGCAAAATTTAAGAATGCTTGGAACCAGCATAACATACTTATCAAGGGACTATTTGTTCTAAATGAATGAGGCTCTAGCTGTGGAAATGCACCTCGACCTCTTTGAGGAATGTCTCAAGTTTTTGCCTTGAGGACTTTAAATTTATCACAAAAATTGAATCTCAGTGATTGAGCTGATTTTTGTCTAGGAGTCACATTATTAATTTCGCTTTTTATGAGAAATAGCAAATAAAAATTCCTTTAAAGTTTGCTGAGACTGTAAGTCTAGAAGGTTATGTTCATGCCATTTCTACAATACATTTTAGTATGTAGGCTAAATCTCCAACTTCAAAGATCTCATTTTTGGAAGCGTAAAAGAATCAGGCAGAATTTAGAATTTTATTTTATTTTTATTTTTTGGTACCGGGGATCAAACTCAAGTCCTTGCGCTTGCGGCGCAGGTGGCGGAACCACGGAGCTAAATCTCCAACCCACGAATTTAGAATTTTAAAAACTGTTTATATATCTGAGTTTGGGTTACTGCAGTTTGTTAAATAATTCTTCTATGTCGGTTAAGATTTGTATTCCTTTGCTCAGTGATTCACTCACCAAATATCATTTACTGTTTTAGTCATTTTCTTGGTTGCTGAGACACAATACCCCCAAACCCCCAACTTAAGAGAAGGCAAGGCTTATTCTGGCTCACACTTCAGTCTGTGTCAGCTGCTCTCAGGAAGGATGGCCAGGCTGGGGTGGGGGAGAATGGAGGGTCTCGAACAGAAGCATTCAGCAACATTTTGCTTCGATTCTTGAACTCTACATCAAGTGTCAGACACGACCATGGCCATCTTCCCCAGAATCGTGGGACGGATTGAATTCATGAAGCCGGGTACCACTGTATATGGTTTGCAACAACAGTTGTGTCAGTGTGAGGTCAGCTGTGGCTCTGCACCGTGTGAGGGAACACCACACTCCAGCTCTGGAAACCAGGGAAAGGGCGGAAAGCTGGAAGAGGTGTTCAGATATCTGAAAATTTCTACTCCGAACTGGCACACATTGTACCTCCTTACTTTTCACCAGCCAAAACACTTGATGTGTTTAAGCTTGACCACGAAGAAGAGAAGTATTTATTCTGTGACAGGAACACACCAGGACAATGGGGATCTCCTTACACACTGGGGATAGATAATCTGAAATGATGTAGGATAGAAAAGTAAAACACACACATGCAAGGGCCAGACTGTACATCTACACTCTGACCAGGCCACTTAGTAGATACATGAGTTTTGTCAATGATTTGTATTATTTCTGTCTCTCTTTCATCATCTTTAAAGGAGATTGTATAGCATTGACCTCACAGGTGTGTTACCTGCATTAGATGAATTAATTTAAGTGCCTAAAACATAGAAAGTATTCCCTAAATAAAATACCTTAATAGTATATATTGTTATTTGGATTTTCAACTAGTTCTGCTCATATTTCTAAAATAACAATCATATGTTGAATTGTTGAATATGAAAGTTTTTTTTAAAAATAACCTCTTACATAGCACTTTAAATTAGCATTATAATGATTCTTTTATAGTCTGTCTCCTCTACTCTATTAAATGAAGGTAGTACCCTCTAATCTTCATCTTTGTATCCCTCCAATTAGCACATGCTCAACACATATCACTTAATCAGTAATTGCTGTATACAAAATAAGGACGGGAGAAAGTGTTAAAGAATTTGAATAAAAGAGAACACGGGAGAGTCCATTGTCCAGTTACTCAGGGACACATTTTTAGAAAAACTTGAATTAGAAAAACATTTTAGAGGGAAAAATATTTAATGAGCATATGGAAATAAAGATACTTAAATTGAGATTGAGATTCTGACTAAAAACATTCAGTGCTAAAAGCATCCTCTACTCCATATTTTTAACTGGTTTGTGTACATCATATACAATAGAAGTTCGTATTTGCTTTTTCACTCATGTACAAACTAACACACCTTCAAAGTCCTTGAAGGACCATGCATGGATTCACCTTGTTACTGTTGTATTCCCAACCTCACATGGTGCCTCGCAGAGGGAATTCAAAACATATTTTTTAATAAATAGACGATGACCAAACTCGAGTTTACTTCTGCATTTTTAAGCTTGTAACTTCCAGTTTCCCAAACTCTAAAATAAACTCAAGTTGTATTAAAGGTTTAGGAATCATCCACATCAGTTTTGAGGAAATTTCCTGTGTAAGTCGCATGTTGCAGGAGATTTGTGGTAAAATGCTTGGTTGTGAAACTAAAAACATTTACAAAACAGATTGGTGTAGAGAATGGCAAGTTCAGGTGAGCTCCCTTCAGCAGCAACAATAAAGTAAATTAACCCCAACTGGGTAATTATGTAGAATTCTCCTGGAGGAACTCTCAGTTTCCAACTGTCCTGTTGTAAACAGAGTTGTAAGGCATTATGTGGGCCAAAGGCTGCATTAAATGACCTATTGAACGAAGGGCCTGTCCTATTTGCTTGAAATTACAGATGGAGAGAATCTCTTTTTTCAAATTAGTAAGTTTTAGATTATTAGTGAGCAAATTCTGTGCCTTTGTCTGACTTTCTCAAGAACTTTCAGCTTCATTAAGAGAATTAACTATTACTTTGCTATCATCAACTAATCAAATTCTTTCTTTGGCCATACGACTCAGACCGCACTCTGAGAACCTCACAGACAGTTCTCCAACACTGATCCCCATAAGAACGTCTTAGTCTTGCCATGCTAGGCACCATGTGCAGCTGTCAGCATTCTTTCCATTTCAGTTTTCAGGTAATTGAACACTGACATCTTCATCATTATGTGAACATCTGCTCATTCATTCCTCAGATGCTATTAAGCTCTTACAATGTGACACACTGCAGGTGAACTGTACTATAGATTTGAGCCTATGTTTCAAGCTTCTAGTGATGTTGATAAAAATTCCATTTTCCAGCTCTTATCCCAACTTATTCTACTGCCATTTTTTCTTAAGCATTTCTTCCCAGGGAAGTTAAAAAATACAGTTATATTAAACACAGAATTTCATGAGCATGAAATTAAGGTAAGGGACAAAGGAAATTCGTAGGACCCTCACCGTAAGAACCCAGCATGTGGATCTTAATTCTGACAGCAGTGCCAAGTGAACAACAGCAATAACGAAAGATGCAGAGTCATAAAGTATAATGGGAAAAAGTCACCTGGGGTTAAGTCTCCACAGTCCTCAAATGTTGTCGAGTGCAAGGGACCAGAAAATGTTCCATATTCCTGCCAAACAGAACAATGCGTGGAAGTTATTGTTTTATATACCATTGCCAGCCCCCATTAAACATCTGTTACATCTGTTATGATGAGATGGATAAGAAGTCAAAGCAACTTGGGACTTGTCTTCCTGGAGCAGACATTTGTTAAGTGCTAAGAAAAAGCATCATCCACACACTCAGACCCACCCAGCTACCAACTCAGCACTGCATCTCCCACTCTCAGATAACGATGACTAGCTTTTTAGCATTTACCATCTTTGAGTTCTCACCCCTCAAACTACTGATTTCTCAGCCCACTTTATTCTGGTTTTAAATTCCATCACTACAATGAAACAGCATTCGCTAAAGTCAACAATGACTTCTAGAGAATAATTTCAAGCTTGATCTTTTGACAGTATTAAGCAATGTTGTTCACAATCTCCTATGGTTCTTTCTGATGACCTTCCTATATGTCTTGTTTTGCATAGTTATCTTTTCTTTTCTGCCCATTAAATGATACCTTACCAGATCTCTTCATAATTCTATACCTCTTTTTAGATGATATCTGAAAGAAACCTCCCAGACACTTTTAAAATGTATAAAATATGTATGAATAAATAATACTTTAAAAAATGTGTAGATCAGGCTAGTCCTCTGGGATGCAAACAATTATACACATGCGTACATAGACACACATGGCACCTTTATTTTAAGTCTTTATATAAACTCAGTCCACCTTCGTACTTGTTTTGGTTATTACAGATTCTTTGCATTTAAAAAAATTTAAATCAGCACTTCAATTTCTACATAAAAGAAGAAAGAATGCTGTTTCTTTCTTTCTTTCTTTTATTTATTTATTTTTTTGGTACTGGGGATCAAACTCAGGACCTTGTGCCTTCGAGGCAGGCCCCAAAACCACTGACATAAATCCCTGGCCCTGCTATTTCTTAATGTGATGGAATATCTAAAATCCATGGATCAATTTTGAGAGAATTGCTGTATTAACAATATTAAATCTTCTAGTACCGTGAATATCTATCTTTATTGAGATCCTTTCAAATAGTTCTCAACCATGGTTCATAGTTTTCAGGATACATATTTTGTCTACATTTTATTGAATGTATGTAAAAAATTTTTTTTTTGCTATTGAAATTACTAATTTGCAGTTTAACTCTCAACTTATTTATTACTAGCACATAGAAATGCAGTTGATTTGTTTATTGAGTTTGTGTCCTCTATCTTGCTAGTCATTTTAGTTCTAGTTTGTGTGTGTGTGTGTGTGTGTGTGTGTGTGTGAATTCCTCAGGGTTTTATTTGTAAGCAATACTTTCTTCTCAATAGAATCCATCTGTATGCCTTTTACTTATTTTTATTTTCTTTTTATACTGGCCAGATCTCCAATAAAATGTTGAGTAAAATTGGTAAGAGATTTCATTACCTTTCTCCAAATCCTAGAAAAAATTACTCATTTTTCTTCATTTAGTAGGATCATAGTGAAAGGTTTTTCATAGATGCCCTTTTTCAAGTTGAGAGATTTTCCTTCTATTACTAGTTTACTGAGTGTTAGCTTAAAATCACAAGTGGGTATTGAATTTTTCAAATGCTTTTCTTTCATCTATTGAAATTGTTTTCTTTTATGCTGTTAATATGATAAATTAGATTAATTGATTTTTGTAAGCCTCAATTGCACTGCTGGGAAAATTCTAATTGAGAAACTGCATTATCCCAGTTACATACTGTTGGCTTTGATTTGATAACATATTTTTTAAGGAGATTTTTTTCTCTGTTGATGAAAGATATTAGGTATTTTTGTTGTTGTTGTTTTGATTACCAAGGAAACTGAGACCTCATAAAATTTTTTGGGAAGTATCTTTTCCATGAATTTCATAGAGAATACAAAAAAGATTGATATCATTTATTGATTACTGTTTGATTGTATTCATCAATGAACCTATCTGGACCTGGACATTTTTGTAGCCAGGTTTTCAGTACTATTCAGCATTAATTATGGTAATGATTGTCTTTCAAAGAGTTTGTCCATTTTACATAAATCGGTAAATTTATTGTTATTCATAATATTCTTATTCCCTTTTAATGTCTGTAGCATGTTTTCCCTTTTCTTATTACTTCATTCTGGTCACACATACTTCTTACAACAGAGTCGTTCCAAGGACCATCACTTACATGCCATTTCAGACCCTGAATTTGGTAATACCATTTTCAAGACATCTAGGTCAAAGATGATGTATGAAGTTTATTGGTAACAGTCCAGTAAAAATGGTGAGTTTGTGTCTGTACTCTTCACAGTCAAAGGCCCTTGATGACATGACAGGAGGAAAATTCTCCTACAAAACCTCCCAGGAATGATCATTAAAGGCGTTTTGTATCATTATCACTGTTTTTTGTTGCAAGGCATGAACTGAAAATTTCTATCCATCGGTATCACTTTGGGCTTATGTTTACAAATGGGAACTGTGCATCAAAGTGGAAAAAGATGAATTGTGAAATCACATAAATCTGAGTGTAAATTCTGGCTTCACATGTATTAACCATATGGACTTGGATATTTTATTTAATCCTTAGTATCTGTTTGATTGATTTATAAAACAAAATTTATAATAATCTTTTATGGATGTATTAAGGATTCCTCAAGTCTATGCATAATTCCTGAAGCTCAGCTAGTTTAGGTGACTCTTTAGTTTTATGCTAAGTTTCTCTGAATATTCAGTTTCTCTGTACTGTTTATTATGGAGAAATTTATGCTCCTCAAACTGAAATGCAGGACTAAGCATCTCTATCCTTCCTTATATAGATTTTCATCTAAAAGGAGGATCACTGTTTCATTTTTGTTTTTTGTTCTTGTTTTTTCCCTGATGCAGGGACCATAGCTGTGCTCCTGTGGTGGTTTCTCTTTATGAGAACTGTTTCTGAGAGCTGCAGAAGTCATCAGAAGCAGAATGTTGGTTCTCTCCTTCAGGGGAACACTCAATAATAGAGTGGCAGAAGTTTAAATGATCTCCCTGGTCATTTATAAAACAGTTCAAGACCATTTAACAGACACTTACAGGGCTTTCATGCTAGAGTTCTTCTGGAACTTTCCAACATTCATTTTTGCTTCTCCTCAGCTGTTTAACAAACTACAGTTTCAAAAGAGAGTCACAGAAAAAAAAAAAAAAGAGAGAGAGAGAGAGTCACAGGAAAGGAATGGCTCCCTGATCCTGTCTCTCCCTAACCAGTGAACTAAAAGTTAGATTATCATTATTTGGAAAGGGTACTGTACATGACAGGACATACAGAATTAGAAGAAAACTAATTGATCAGGTGTTTTCTATGTAAAGGCACATTCTCATTAGCAACATTTGCATTTTTGTAGAGCGAAGATGGTCAAAGGAGAATTGTATTATTCCATCTCTGTGGACATCAAAGTAAAATACTGCTATCAAATTAAAAGCTACCTAACACACTTTGATCTTGTGGTGTAAAAAGCAACAGAATGCATCTAACATCCATTCTGGGAGGTCACGGGGACACCTGGATCTGTCCTGGCATGCAGTAGAGAGATAAAAGCCACAGCTGGACAATCTTAATAGAACTAAGATGGCCTTATGATGTGATGTTGGCACATTTTCTTCTTTAAAAAATTACCCCTGCAGAATTTTATTGTTTTGCTTACTAATCCCTATTAATCTTCATGAGTTTATAATTTTAAAAATATTATACTTGACTGGAGTCCCTGTTATTATCAAAAAACTTTGAAAAGAAACAGAAAAGTACAAGTTGTGTAACTGTTGTTACAAATTCTAGTTATTTGAAACGTTAATGTTAACGTTAATGGTTTGGGTTTTTTTTTTTTTTTGGTACCGGGGATCGAACTCGTGTCCTTGAACTTGCGAGGCAGGCGGCAGAACCACTGAGCTAAATCCCCAGCCCTAAACGTTAATGTTAATATAAGGGATTTTCGATGTTTTCTGTGCACCGTAGAAGGTAGAATTGGTCTCAATTCACAAGTGCAAATAGTAAACAACAGAGAATATTTTATTTTATTTTTTTATTCCTCCATTTAAAAATTTGCTTTGTCCAAACCTGAGAGGAAAACCTAGCTAGAGCAGTTTGTCTATAAGACTATCTTTATCGGTCGGCAGGTGGCAGTATTGCTGCGTGAAAAACTAATTCAGGTGCCTCTACCCTTACGTATTGGGTTTGCTTCTTAAACTTAGCCATGAGAGCTGGATTTGGAATTCCTAATGAGATAAAATGACGGTCTTTTCTTTGCATTCTCCTTCTCCAGCTTTTGCTTCCATTTTTATCAGGAGAAATATTTTTCATGTGCTATTCTCTGTAGACCATGACAAAATTGTGATGTTGCAACCTTTTTTTCCACCCAAACACCTTTCTGGCATTGGACTAAATGAATGCCAGGAACAAGCCCAGCCTAGAAAATGCTCGGAGAAGCGGGCTGAGCCCTGGCAGGGCTCGGCGTCTGGCGTTCTCCTATGTAACTGTGTCCTCTCGCTCCAAAGTGAAGAGTCCCTGAGGCCGTGCCTGTAAAGCGTGACCTCTCCTTGCAGATCCCCGGGACGTCCTCGGTGGTGCAACGGAGGTGGAAGCCCTTGCAGCCGGCCTCGCAGCCTCGGAGCTCAGCAGCGCAGGCCAAGTCCCGGATCAGCGCGGTGGCCGCAGAGATAAAGCAGATCCGGGCCAGACGGAAAACAGCGCGGATGCTGATGGTGGTGCTGCTCGTGTTTGCGATCTGTTACTTGCCAATCAGCATCCTCAATGTGTTAAAGAGGTAACGCTGCTCGTCCATTATCTGAAAATGAAATGGCCTCACGTTTTAACTGGTAACTTTTTAACTTTTTGTGGCTAAGAAACTTTGAACTTCCCTCCTGGAGAGCCTGTCAGGCCGGGAGCGCTGGTGATGCAAGTGTCAGCCCTGGGTAGGCCAAAGCCCTGGAGCGTGCAGACTGGGGCCGACCCCTGCCGAGGCCTCAGACAGTGGCCCCCAGCACACAGACGCTCAGAACCTCCCCAGCTGGCTGCTAAGCCTCAGGTGCACAGAAAGCTCTAATGCAAAACCAAAAACCACGAAAACAAAATCACCTCGTTTGCAGATTTTTTGTTTCCTAGCTTGTTTATTTTTTGATGAGAACAAGTGAAATTTGCAAAACTTGATTCCAAAGACAGGGGCAATAATGACAGAACTCTTTCTGAAGGATAAAAAGAGATGAATGTTTTGTTTTGAGCACTGAACAACAAAAATTAAAACAGGTATTTGTACGTGGAATGTTTAAACAGAAGGAGAGAAAATTGGTTTAAGCGACTGAAACAAGCTCAAGATGAATATTAATAAAAATCAGCACCAAATTTTTCAGCAAGGGAAAAGTACGTAATTTGGTATACTCTACACAAAAATTAGGGTTCAAATAATAGACAAAGACAGGAAGAGCCGCGCAGAGACAGTGGTACACTCCGAACTTCCTTAAGGATCACAACTGTTGCACTTAGACTGGCCCCGAGGCGATATGAATTCTGTTTATAGAAGGCTTCAGACTTCACCCGATCTGCTCCGCGCTTTTCCCTGATTCCGAGTCGATATCATGTTCCTCACAGCTGGGGACCCTAGAGAGAGGCGGCTTTGGCTGGGGTCACACTGAAGCTGGTATAACCAGCTGCACAGATTTCTCCTTCATTGTTGGCCCTCCCCCCCCCCCCTTGGTACCGGCGAGGGGATCGAACTCGGGACCTTTCACTTGCCACTTGCGAGGCAGGCGCTGGAACCACTGAGCTAAATCCCCGGCCCTTATCTCCCCTAAATCTCCCTTTTTAATGGAGAAGAAATGGAAAAACGAACTTTTGTTCAGTAATATTTACTGTAGTCACAGCCTTAAAAATATAAGAATTGGCGCAGTTTGGATCCATGTGCCAGCTCACAAGAAAGTAAAAACTGTTTTGCCCTCTGCGGCTTTTCATAACCCCCATCTTATCTTTTTGCTCAGAAAAATATCGCATAAGTTTATCCTGGTCCCTGCTACATGGTGTTGTCTGTTCTGGAAACCCTAAGCAAACATGCTGATACTGAATGTGCTTCCGCTGCTTCACTCACCCGTGCTGCTCCCTCTCCTCCACCAGAAAGTCAAAACTCAAGGAAAACTGAATTTTCCCTGTCTTGGTTGTTCATTTGAATTTCTTCTATCTGAACATTTGATATTTACCCTATTCTTCTGACTTAAATACCTTCTTATTGAAGAAAAGCAAATAGCTTTCTAAGAAAAACATTTAAGTTCATTTTAAAGTACTTTCAAGGTTTTTAGCATTCTTGTCTTTTCCACCATACACATTTTTAAAAGTATCTTGAAATTTATTTTTCTCTTTTCTATAAACCTTTTTTTAAATGTTTGTCTCTAAGGTTGTCCTTCCATATTATTTTTTTTCTCATATAAGAAAAAATCTTAGCTTTTTTCCCTTAAAACTTAAATTTTTGTCTGATTAGTCAAAAACAGCTTCTTTAAAGCATTTTTGCTTTCTCCGAGATTTCAAAGATGTTGAGGTAGAGGGCTGTAGCATACTATAAATTCTCTTTGCTGAAACCGTCTCTCCTTCCCTCTCTCCCTCTTCCTCTCCCTCACCCTCTCCCTCTCCCTCCTTCTCTGAGCATCACTTTGTTCCAGAAATGCATTAATGAATTTCCGTCATGTGTTTTACTACTGTAAAGGAAATACAGATGTGCCACAGAACTGACGATAGCCTACGGCAGGAAATCCATTGTAGTCTTTAACTTATAAACTTATTGGATAGCTGCAGAGTTGTCTTCTGTAGATTAATCAATAGAATTTGATACAGGAGATATCTCAAAGACTGTAACAGATCTTAAAATAGCCTGTAAGAATAAGATAATAAAAATTTTCAGAGTTTAATACATGAAAAACTAAAACTCATGAATCTTAAGAAATTATCAGAATCTTATCTGCAGAAAACTAGATCTCTGAGTATAAGGAGCTCCTAGCAATCAAACTGCAGCAAGACCAAATGTATGCTTTTATCATTATGCCAATGATGGAAGAAGTACTTATAAAGACTACAGTTTAAGAGTTTTTTTGTTTTTGTTTTGTGCATTGAAGCAGGACCTTCACACTGAGCTACATTTTTAGTCCCCCTCCCTTTAATTTTATTTTGAGACAAGATTTTGTTAAGATTTCCACAATGCCCAACCTGCGCTCAAAGTTGTGATCCTCCTGCCTCAACCTCCTGAGAGCTGAGATTACAGGGGTGTGCCACCATGCGTGGCTCTCAATATCTATATTGTTATCCACAAGAATTGCTTTATTTCCCAGAGAGAGAGAGAGAGAGAGAGAGGTTTTTGTCTCTGACCTGATATACCTTTTGAATACTAATTGAATTATGTAGCTGTGTCCAGGTCCAAAGCTCTTTTCTATAAACTGTGGTTGTGATCAACCCAGCGGGATATGCCTGCAGTGGGTGATTGGCTCTTTGCTCACTTTTGACTTGAAACATTTAGAAGCTGCCTTCCAGAATCACTCCAACTTTGTTCTTTCCTTCCAGGGTGTTTGGGATGTTCACTCACACAGAAGACAGAGAAACTGTATATGCTTGGTTTACATTTTCACACTGGCTGGTCTATGCCAATAGTGCTGCGAACCCAATCATCTATAATTTTCTCAGTGGTGAGCTTTCACTCCTTCTCTATAAATCACAGTTCTGCCCATGGAGGAGAGGGAATTAGCTGCAGAGCTGGCTCTGTCTAAATGTACAGGGAGAGCTTAGTCACTAGATCTATCTTTGCCTGGCCTGAATTATCTTGAGTTTCTTCCTTTACAAAACTGAATGCATGTTACCTAACTACTCAGAGAGTTACCTAGACTTTTTCTTATAAGATTTCAAATAAATGTTGAAATAGGAGGACAGTTATAATTATGTGAAATGAATAAAACAGTCTTGCATGTCATACTTTAAACATATGATTCACAAGGATGTAAAATACCTTTACCTACTTTGTCTTGCTGTTATTCTTTTGCCAAAATATATAGCTTAATTGAAATAGAACTGAATTTTCCCACTCTTAGATGTTCTGTGTATTTTTATTTCACTTATAGGCTACATTCCTTGCATTTATGTAAAAATTTTTCACGGATAACAAAAGTATCATTCCTAGATAACAAATTAACTAAATGATATACACAGGGAAACAGCTGCAATTTATTGAATCTATGGTACCTCTGTTTATGAAATAAACATGATAAAAATAATTTAAATAACTATTATTTGTTTCCATTTGACCTATTAAAATTCTGCTTTAATTAGCTATATCTTTGCTCTGTCATCTTCTCAGGATACATGACAATTAGTTTTTTACTTCTACTTCCAAGTGTATGCTAGTTTTATATGGAAGAATAACCATTCATTATATTGCATACATAATTTATGTTCATCTTTTAACTTTATCTTTGACTTTTGGGTTTTAAAAAAGGATCCATTTTTCAACATTTCTGGGTACTAAGTTATAATTAGATAGGACTAAGAAATTCTGGTGTGACACAGCACAGTGGAGTAACTATAGAAAATACTTATGTACTGGATGTTCCAAAGAGCAGGAAGAGAAGATTTTGAATGTTTTACCATGAAGGAATAGCAAATGTTTGAACAGATAGACATGTTTAACCTAATTTAAACATTACACAATGGATACACATATTGAAGTTTTTATTTTTGTTGTATTCATTTAGAAAAAATTAAAGATTACCTAAATAGATGATCAGAAATCAAATGGATAAACAATTTTATTTCTAAAGATGACTTTGTCTCACGCAGCCATGCACAAAGCAAATCCAACTTCCGTGGCTGTGGTGGGGAAGAGTGAAACAGAAACTACCTGGGCGAAAGTGCTAGTGTGGGTTTCAGGGTGAGTCAGGGAGGCAGAGGGGGCTCCCTGAGTTTGCGCCTGCTGTCCTCCTCGGCCTAGGAGCATTTCCACTCTCACTTGATCACTCATTAACCCCCCGGGGTAACTGAGGCTCAGAGCACAGAAGTGACAGCGTTTGCTGAAACAAAGGCAAACATTTCATTTTCAATTCCCCCATCAACCGCCAGTAATTTAAACACAAGGAGCACTTCTAAAGTCTTTTTCTTTTTTCAGTTTTTTTTTTCTTTTTTTGCTCTGCCTTATGTAGATTATGAAACTGGAAATTTTAGAAATGTTTTAATATTTTTTTCTGGATATTTTGTTGAACTCTGTTGTAGCAGTTTCCTTAGGCTACAACGCAGGGCCACTCCTATATATTTTAGCAAATTATGGTACAAGCTTAATTATGTTTGGAATCTTTGGGTTCCTGGGCATCTGTGAATGACCATTCTTACAATGATTCTATAGACAGAGTATTAGGACATTCACTCATACATAAGGTTTGACTAAAAAGAAATGAAACAAACTGCAAGCATCAGGTATGAAAATCAGTCTCCTAATTTTATGAAATTGTTTCAGGAATTTACCAGGCTTCCAATAAGCTTAATTTCCTTTTCCCATTTGCTCCATCTCGGCAAAATATTACACCTCATTGTTACTCTGGCCTAAGGGACCAAGCCCATTTTAGGCTCTGAGTTATTTGCTGAGACATTTGTGTGCAATTCTTTTTCCTTCCGTTCTCTCTGGTTTGCCAGGAAAATTTCGGGAGGAATTTAAAGCAGCATTTGCTTGCTGTTGCCTGGGAGTTCACCATCACCCGGAGGATCGGCTGGCGAGGGGGCGAACCAGCACTGAGAGCCGCAAGTCCCTGACCACCCAGATCAGCAACTTCGACGTGGTGTCCAAGCTATCTGAGCAGGTGGTCCTCACCAGCATAAGCACACTCCCCTCGGCCAATGGGGCGGGCCCGCTGCACGACTGGTAGACTCTTTGCTCCCCTGCCAACAATACCCAAGTCAAGCTATTCTTTTTTAAAAGCTCTCTATACCGAATTTTATTATCTTAATGATCTGAAGCTAAAATGCTTGTCAATCCATTTTTTAATAATCGATTGCTCTTTGGAAATAAAAAAAAGTCAGTTTAAAATCATTTCTCAACTTTTGAATTAAATATGTTAGAAGTTTTACCTCCACCTGAACTTATTTCAGCCTATTTCACTTTTAGCTTCATGTATTAAAATTGGTGTGAAATATTTTGACATTTTTAGTTATTTTTAGAATCAATCTCTTGTTATTTTAATCTCACACATTCAGATTGGTTGCTAAAAGCCACAAACATTTAGGCAGTGGTTGTCTTTTGGCTGCTAAAATAAGTAACAATTACTAACTCCCAGTTAACAGCACACTTATTTTAGTTGACTTGTTTTTTAAAAGTCACAAAAGACTGTCATCTGAAAGAATATTTGTATATTAAGTAGCATATTATGTGAGATAATGCAAAAGATATCTTTCAAAACTACATGAAGTATACACTATTTAACTTTATTTTCCACTAATTTTATCATGCATTTGCTCAATTCTTTCAGATCTTTGACTTGATCATCTCTAACATTTCTTGTCAAAAATTTGACCACTAAGACTATATGAAAATAAACATTTTGTAGTGACTCTTAATATATAAGAACTTTCAAATCCAGGGAATGACTTCAGCATTTAAAAATAAGACAAAATCACCTTATTATATTCTTCTAACCAATCAAATGAGACAGTCAGCTTTGCTGGATTACATCAGGCATGTGGCACTGTGCTAGATCACAGGGAGGAGGAGGGGGTGGACCCAAGGAAGCCTTCCAAGGAGCTGCAGCTATTAAGCCAGACTTGTTGGTATTCGAGGAAAGAGAACTTGGGAAAAGTGCCTGGGCACCGCACAGCAGGGACTCAACCAAGCACATGGTCCTCTCCAGCTGTGGGCAGCACCATTGCCCCATTCCCCTATGTGACTACCGTGGCACTTTCTACGTCAGTGAATTCCACCAGAACCTGGGACTAAGCGCTATGTGGCTAGGGAAGGGCTTGTTTTTAACTCACATCCAAATGAAAGAAATGCAGTATATTTTATATCAATCTCGGTCTGGAACCCATAGCACTGTGTGTTTCAAATTATTCCTTTGCAAAATTTTTCTGATTCAAAATTCAAATATTCACTTAATGTAAAATAAGTGACCATAGAATGACGATCTTCATCTTAGAATAGAGTAGCAGGTATTCTGATTATATAGAAGGGAGGCATGGGCATTGTATTTAAGAAACTTTGTCTTAGAATAGAATTAATATTTTGTGATCTTGTTGTTTTCCCAACTCATTATTCTCAGAGAAAAATAACACAGCCAAATCATCCACAATTTGGTTTCTCATTTTAGATTTTAGGATTTAATTACCTTGTGCCTTTTACTACTTCAAGCAAAAACTCTTATATGAAGTTTATTGAAATTATTTTGCTAAATCTCGGCACTGTACTAATGAAAGTAATGTATTTTAAATCTCTCCTTTCTCCTCTTTGTACATTTGAGAATTTATGCTGCATAAAAGGAGAGTTGTAGTTTTCAGATCAGGATGAAAGTTAGCACTTTAATAAGTTTGAAGATAACTTTAAAAAGTATTGGCAGTATGCCTTAAAATCAAAGTAACAGCTCAGAGTAAGTGTAAATATTTTAGATGCCAATAGAACTGTCATTATTTAAAAGTGGAGGGGGGAGGGAGAAGGGAGGGAGATGGAGTGGGGAAGGAGAGCAACTCAGCCCGGTAACATTTGTGTGGCAGAGCTGAAGTTGGGATTCTTTTGCTCTAAATCATTGATTCTCAGTGTGGTTTCTGATCTCTCAGCATTAACATCTCCTGGGAACTTACTAAACTTTCAGATTTACCCCCTACCCCAAGTGTACCAAACCAGAGCCCTGGGGGTGGTGTCCAGGGACCCTACCTGTTACCAAGCCCCAAGGGTGGCTGTGAAGTTCCTTCAGATGTGAAAACAGCTGCTCTCTGAGTAAGGCCCGCAGGCCTTGGTGCATTGGCCCCTGTGAAATAAAGTCTTTCACCACACAGGAATCTGCACCAGGGGCCGCAGCCCTCACTGCTGTCAGCCTGGCTGGAGATCTGAAAGAAGAGGCAGAGCTCCCTGTTGAATCTCATCAGTGTCATCTCGCTCAAAGAGATAATGATTTTCAAAACAATTGCCACTATGTTGCAAGTTCCCTGTGAGAGAAGAGGAGCTTCATAATGACCTGCTTGACTTTAGCGTTTACAACTTTCAAATCCCAATCTTATTTATTAAATTACAGATTCTGTGGAAGCAGACAGCAAATATGAAATAAAGCCAGTTCTGAAAAACAAATTTTAGGAATGGATATATCTCTCAATACATGCACCTAGGAATCCTTTTAAGAGGCAAAGGCTTAGTATGGTTACTTTAATAGAACAAAAGGTAAAGAAGCAGGCATTCCTAAACCGCCCCCAAATTTATGGGGATAAAAAGGATCAACTACTTACCTCATTATGTGCTAATGACACAAATGAGAAGGCTTCTGCAAAGTGTGCATTGGGGCTGTTTATGCTGTCCATTGAATATGTATTCTTCCTTTTTTTCTGTTACATTCAAAGACTTCATATGAGATGTTAATGTCACTGAAATTTTGTCATCCATAAGGGTGGATGAGATAATTTTACCTAATGTAGAATATATTTGTACTTCATTATTTCTTGCGCATCTACAAAGCCATGAAGACCTTGATATTTGAATTCATTCATTCTTGGCAAAAGAATTACTCTCAGTTTATGAGGAAAAAACTTCGAATTTTTTCTAAAACTTAGAGAATTTCTTAGATATTGCAACCAGTTATAAATTATTGATGTGTTAATTGCAAAAGTGTTAGTTGCAATGATATTGAGTTTCACTCCCAGTGTACACTGTTTTAAGGAAGATTACGATAAATATGCTAACAAAATTTAGTTTAAATATGCTTAAATCTGAATCAGAAGAGCAAAGTACCAAAGCTGTTTATGGACTTAAATTGTGAGGAAGGCTATTATTACTTGATCTAGTGTAATAATATCATGTTTTGCACTTGATGTAAATCATAATAGTAATAATGGCATTTCAAAAAATCTGGCTAGTCATTACAATTTAGAAACCTTTTCAGTGAAAGTTAATTTTACAACAGATGACTTTTCTACTTCCTGCAAATTATAAATCAAACAAAAAGTAAATTCCTTTAGATGATAGTCAAATAGTTCTCAAATTGCATGAAGCAAAATAATAGACTCTTTTTAGAGCCAATATATAAACAGGGACAATATTGTTAATGTTAGTCTGTTCTCTTACCATATATACCACAGAAAACGAAGTGCACTGGCATGGAAAACATTGTATTTGTCTTTCAAAGTTCAAAGGCAATTGTTTTCTATATGACTACTGTTACTGAAACTGGGGGCGCAAAACACTCCCCCAACTTGCCACGTATTTGTATTTCTATTCTTTACATTTTCTCTATAAGCTTTGGAATTTTAATGTCTTTTATGTTTTACATGAAATGTGTTTCTATAATTGTTGTGACTCATGGATGTAACATCATGTCAATTATTCAACAACTATCTTACACCTTTAAAGTTTTTTGCATCTAGTTTGTTCTGTGTCTTCATGGAAAACTTTCTTATCAAATCCAATGTGATTACACATCTATTGCTGTGAGAGATGGTCATTATGTGTTTTTTCTTAAGTAAAAACCATATTCAGAATTCTATAATCACATTCACACCAGCCTCTCTATTGCATGAAAAATCTTGTTGCTGTTAATTAGATAAACTGGGTATTCACTCATAATCAGTGCCAAATCTTTGCAGTTAGGGATTGAATTAAGCCCTCTGGAGCTGTCCTTATGACCAAAATATTTTCCCCCATAAATTTATATAATCATGGGTAATCATGATATAAAAGATTTTTAACATTGTTTCCAAGAATAGGTACTATAATAAGGTTTAAGATTAACACAAATACTTCACAGAAGTTATGTAAAACCACATATGTATACCATTAAATTTTGAACGTTTTATCTAAGTCAGAGGTTTAATCTGCTTTAACTTAGAGAAAATGATGACCTCATTATTTTCAATTTATTATGAAATTATGTAAATGTATTGCATTCACCTAAGTTTTTTCTAGGCCACTATATATAAGACTGTTTAAAGTTTAAAACATACTTTTTAAAAAATATGTACTTTTACATATATATTTTCTGCTTTTCTTTCAACCAAAATGGTTCTGATAAAGTTCAGAATCAATTGCCAAGGATTTTAATTTTAAAAATCAATTCTTACTCAGTATTTTTTATTCTAACTCTTATCAAAGGTGAAGCAATCATCCAAAGGTGAAGCGATGAATACTCGACTCCTAAACAAATGTAAGCAGAGTGTGGGGCGGTTTTCCAGTGGTTTCACTATGCACATTTTTCACAGTGAGATCTCAGGACAGACACGCTATTGCAGCAGTGAGCCGTCCATCATCTCCCACTAGACCCTTGGCCTTCTTCCTCCAGGGGGCCCAAGTGAGGGCTACAGCATCTTCACGCCAAGCTGGGCCTGTGGCTGTGCAGCAGCAGTACCAAAGGTTCTTGAAGCAGCTTTTCCGTGCAGCCTCCTTGCCCTGTCTCCTCCCTCATCGTCCGCACTGCACACGCCCAGCTCAGCAGGTAGAGCCTCTCCCCATAGTTCCCTTGTCTGCAGAGCTCCCGGCTATTGGCTCTTCCTTCAGCCTCAAATCATGCAGTTGTGTCTGGGCATGATGCATCAGGTGAGCAAGTGGAAAATCTGAGAACAAATGAAGCAGAGCTCAAGGAGAAACTTTAAAACTACAGTTTATATCCCCAAATAATTTTTTTAAAATTCCCTATGTTTTCAAAGTCGTTTATGTCTTCCCCAGAACATCCTTGTTGAACAGCGAGCGGACTTCCAGTCACCTCAGCTCCCTGTCCAAGGCCCCAGCAGTGCTCGCGGCCTCCCCCTGGTGGGAAATCTCGGCGCTGAGATCCAAAGCCAGGCTGGCTTTGAGGAGGTGCTGCGGCGGCACCTTCAGGACCAAAATTCTGCTTCACTTCTTCGTGTAGGTCTACTTTGATGCAGCAGCAGAAAAAAATATTTTAAGGACTGTTTATTGTATAATAAATTTCCAATTAATTTCAAAATGTTTAAGGCAATATGTTAGTTATCAGGGAAGAATGGTCTGAATGAAGCGTGCCTGGGCGGGGAAATCCCTAACGGTGCATTGCTCTCTGAAGCTTGCTGTAATATCAGTGTGACAATGAGGACATCCTCAGAAAAGAAGAATGCTTCCTTTCTCTTTCTCAGGGGTACAGACTTAGAAGTTTAAGGGGGAGAACTTGTCTATAAAGTCGTGTCTAGATCATGCAGAAGATCCTTTATGGAATGGAAAAAATGATATTAGAATATTACCAACACACACACCCAAAAGAGTGTACAGCATCTGTACACTTT